CTCGGCAAGGTTGATGGTCAGTTGCTCTTTGTCGTGCCGGCTGAGGCCACAGAAGCACGAGTCCAGCCACATTGGCTGTGGAACAGCGCAGCGGTGGCGACAGACACCACATGGAAAGCATGTCAGGTTCAAGTGCTTCACCCTGCCTGTCTTCCTGCGCACCAGCGTTGTCATGTTTGTGTTTTGCAACAATCCAGCCCTGTGGAACCCTTAGTGAAAGCTGCTCTGCGTGCGGGCTGCCAGCTCACCCAAGAGCTCGTGTTGAAGACTTGCAAAGCAAACAAAGCCCCAAAGCCGATACCAACAGGAAAGATGAATAAAAAGGGCAAAAGAGGTGTGAGAAGGCAGGACCGCATCGTGGCCCTCTTGGCTGCCACCTTCCCGGAGATCGAGAAGGATTCACCCGAGTACACCGAGCTGCTGGAAGCGCTGCTAGGACGGAAACCTCTTCTTGCAGAAGACTGCGCGGATGAGATCCTCGAGGGCGTCAAAGCACTTGACCCAGACAACCAGGAGAAATTTGCAGGGCTGAAAAGCATGGCAGAGAAAATCGAGTTCAAGCGAAAAGTGAAGAAACGGTCTGACCGGAAAGATAAGAAGACATCAGCCGATGGCGCGGCTGCAAGCTCTTCAAAGCCGCGTGTGGTTGATGATCATGATGCTGTGAAGGATCCACGAGGCTGCTCACAAGCTTTTTTTCCCTGTTGTGGGTGAAAAACCACGGAATGCATCAGGCCAAAAACACTCCATAGCCCTAAACCCATTTCGTAGCCTAACCCCTAATCCCTAGCCCAAGCCCCTTGCCTGAGCCTACATGAGCTTCCAGGTCACTGCCTGATAATAACAAGCCTGCCGTCAGGTCCAAGCAAGCAGCCGAACATGCCCAAGACCCACTTCACCCCCAGTGCGCTGTGCCTCCACTGCAATATTCTTAATTGTCCCCTTCACCAAAGCTTGTGATCTTAGGAAGGAATTGCTTCCTGGGAAAGGCGTCCGAATCCAGCAAGTTTACATACAGCGAAATCCGGCTGCCAAGACCT